AATGCAATTTTAGAGTCAAAATCAATATACAATAATGCATTACCTGAACAATAATTGTTGATGGAGTTTTGTATTGATCATGATGGATACTTTATCTACAGTTGTATAACTAGAATGTTGCTGATTAAGTTTCCTGGAAAACATGTTAAGAAGGATCACAGTATATATTATATATACAAGGCTAAAAAGATTAAGAAAAATTATTAAAATGTTAAACCAAATGTTTTTGGCTGTTTGCCGTTATCATTTTAAAATGTTAATTATGATGGCTGTTTGCCATCATAATTAACATTTTAAATTACTGTTATCTTTGTAAATAGCCCCACTGAATGAATCCCTTGTACAATGTAGCTCAAAGTCTGCTCTATTGTCTTGTAGTTTTCCAGTGTTTGACATTGTGAATTTTAGGGCATCACTCAAGCCCAGTGAGCTATGTAATGCAATGGGATAACATTTGAAAAAAGCGTGTCAATCTTTGAACTTGTGGGTGAAAAATATCTTTAGCATGAAACAAGTTATCAGTGTATAACCTTTGTATGGATCTGTAGCTGATGAATCATTTAAAGAAAATAAACAAGTATACAGCAGACATTTACCTTGATGCCTCCATTTCTTGTTGATTCACATTAGAAATGTTCTGAAACACACCAACATTTGGGATTGGCAAACCAAAGACCAGGCATGGTTGTTCAAAAGGTGGATAATGCTATCCACTGGTTAAGTCTCTATCCACTGGACTGTGCTTTATGTTTTGTTAACACTCATCCGCTGGATAGGGATTAATAGCCACTGGGTAAGGTGATCTGTCCTTTTAAGAGCTGAGCCCTGGCTTTCTCTGTATCATGGTGCAGGGAAAATTAAATGAATCAGTCAAGGTTAGGAAAATTCAAGAACTTTAAGAAGAAATCTATGTCACCCATGGTTTTTCCTGTAGCTCTAGCCATAAAAGTTTCTTAATTGAAGTGTAGGTAGGCAGATCTAGGCCAAGCTAGAAAATGTTTATATACTGTAAAAGTGTGTACCCGTAAATTATGTTACAACAAAATGTGAAATTAAATCAGCAAGTAATTTCTTAGACACTAACACTCTCTTGCTAAATATTTAACTAAGGACACATTTGCATTGTCATTCTTAGTGCCTGTCAAGTTTGTTAGTGCACCAAGTGACCAGACTATCAATGAAACAGACACAGTAACATTTGTCTGTAATGTTAGTGGTATTCCAGCCCCTGTCATCAAGTGGCAGTAGGATGGAGGTACTGTTGGTACAGGAGACATGCTTAGCTTTCCAGTCTACAGGAATCAATCAGGATACTACTGGTGCTCAGCTGTTAATGGCTTGAGTGTCACTGTCAATGCCAGTGCTTACCTTGATGTGCAATGTGAGTAGAAATCAGTCAAAACGAATTTGTAAAATGATACAAAGCGACATTCAAGGCATGATCAATGAATACTGGTGTTCTACACCTGTTCCTGTTTATTTTGTCAAAAGGCTAGCTTAAATGTTGTATTGTATCCTGGAGCTGCTATAATTGCAGCTTATTCTAGTTCTTTTAAAACATGATCTATAATGTTACAAAGCAGAGTACAGGAAATGGGGGTCAAATGTCTATATCTGTGTGAATGTTGTATTCATTGAGCAACATGCTTATAGGTTGTCAGAGCCAAGCTATCTCACATAAGTTTCAAAAAACCACTCAACTCAGAAAAGTTAGTGTTTTAAAAGCATAGAACTTTCTTGATAAAACTGAAAACAGGAGGATAGGTCAACAGGGTACCCTAGCTTACTTAAATAAACCTTGTGTTCAATAAGTCTCAAATTCTCAGTGGATAGCACTATAATACCTCTCTGATGATTTTAACCACTGGAAGTTTTATTTGAAAGCAGTTAAAACTTCTCACATTAATTAATCCAATTCATAATCTAGTGCTATAAGAAAAGTAGATTGACAAAACCACCAACCAGATGTTATTATCTGGATACCAAGTTAATTGAGATTCTATTAACAGTCTTTAACAAAGAAGCAAGTTTTTTCGGAAAAATCCACTTTTTGGCATTAAGCAATCAAATCGGTTAGGGTAACGTAAAATCAGGTCAAAAAGTTAGGGTTTAGGGTATCTTTTAGGGTTAGGGTTAACCCATTAACGTCCAGTGCGCCCGTATGCGCCCATGGGGACCCACACCCTTTCTACGCCCTGTGACGTCATCAATTTTAACTCTGGAGCACGAATTCGAGCATGTACTTGAACGGGTTGAAAATATCTTGCAGACGATACCAGAATGAGCGCAATTGAGTGGAGGAGATTGGAGAAATAGCCAAAAAACCGTGTCACTTTGACTGGAAAATCTGCACGAAGATCGTGTTTCACTACCCACCTAC